ATGTGCTGTACTGTTTACAGAAATCGTGGACATGGCCTGTCTACCAACTCAAAATCAAACCCCAAACCTTCAGCTGTCACGTCAATTCCAACTCAGGTCGACTCTCCGTGGGGTTCCAGGGCTATAAATCTTTAGGGGAGGGACTGACCATCTTTCTCTCCTGGAGGGGCTGGTAGAGTCGAACTGCTGACCTGTTAGCTGGGAGCCCAAAACGTAACACACTACACCACTAGGGCTCCTTAACTGTCTGCCAGTAGGAGGCGCACTTGTAAAATACTGTCACAAAATGCCAGTTAACACAGCAAGTCTCACAAACACAACCTTGGAGTGGAAAAACCAGCTGCAGAGCATGATGCCACTTAGTTAAAAACAATCATTTAATTATCGACTGTTCAGGGGCACATACATAGCAAATAAGGACACCACACAAATCAAGCCCACGCTCATGACTACGGTCCCTCAGGGGGTGGGGCTGGGGAAGAGGAAGAGGGACTTAAAGGAATAAGGTGAGATGGACAGAGCGGACAGTAACAAATGCCATACTGCACACAAACGACACATTCGCAGTAAGGTTTCTGACAAACTGCTCGTTAATAAGCGGGAAGCGTGAGGGGGCGATTGCTAGCTCTGGGTAAGGCAGACTGTGGACGTAAGTTTACTTACTGAAGTGAAATTAGTAACAGGCCAAACCTGAAGGCACCTATCTGTCCCCTCTGTCTCTGACCTGATGCCCCAGAAGAGGAGCCTCCTTTATCCCAGCCCCAAAGCTAAGGATCATTACCTCCTGGGGGCAGGAATGCCTCCCTGGGCTGGAGGTAGGGGTGTCTGCTGCTCCTCTCTGAGAACATAGACGTACTGTCCTACCCTCCGGCCTCCTGACTGAACCCAGGCCTACACACACCCCCTACCACACAGGCAGGCTGACAGCTCAGCCATGTATATGAGCTCAAGTCCATAAGGGAGGAAATTCGCTCTGAAGTGACAAGGCCGTGGGAGGACTGTCTCCAAGGAGGAAATCTTGAACAAGCTTCCTGTTCCCCTCCTTCCTTTCCGGGAGGAAGGAGAGCACTTGGTACTGGAGAGATCCAGTGGGCAGATGGGAAAGGTTCCTGGAAGGATGGGCCACCCTGTACGGTGGCCCAGGTTGTTCACTGCCCAAGGGTGCCCAGCAGAAGCTGCTGAAAATCAGTTGGCACCTTCTGCTTGCCAAGCCCTCGGCCCCAGAGTCTTTTCTTATTCACGTAAAAATACCTTTTCTAGTGCTTTATCTAGTATTATCCAGGCTAGTAGAAACTTGGGTGATGTCTCAAGCAAAGCAGCCTCCTGGCCGCAACAGGGCAAAGTGTGGGGTTCACCCCAGTGACCCAGACCTGAGAATGAGGAGGCCGAGTGGAGAAGGCCCTACAGGGACTCCTGGTCTCCCTGACAACTGGCCACTTCCTATGGTCCCCAAGCAGTGCAAGGCCTTGTCCAAAATACAGACAGTTGGGGCTGGGCCCTGGGTAGAGGGGCCTAGGCGCTCACAGAAGGTAGGGTGAGGAGACTCATGAAGTCAAACAAAACCTTAATAGCTAGAAACAAGCAATCTATTGGCAAAATAGAGATCCCCATATGGATTGGGGGGTGCTGGACCAGGGCCCCACAGACACCAGCTTTCCCAGCACCCCACCTCTGATGCCTTTCATTGCACCCCAAAAATGTTCAACTAATGTATGCAGGAAGAGGCTGAAGTTGGATGGGGGGACCAGACAGTGCGTGAGAACATGGAGCCGGGAGGAATTCTTGGGAGGTAGTAAGGAAAGGGGGTCTTTGGCCAGGACCACATCCTCTGCGATAGGGCCAAACCCTGAGTGCTCAGCCCCCAGCCTTGCTCTCCAGCTGTCACCCCAAAACCTGGCTGGGCAGCCCTCTCCTGGCAGGGCCCGCCAACACAAACACGCCTCCACCCACCAGTTCTCATTTTCTACCCGTTTTCCCTCCCTGCTGGCCACTGAAATGAGCTGGAGCCAGCCGCAGCCAACCGGCCCCAGAGTCCACAGATGCTGCCTCACATCCACGTTCCTTGCTCCCCAGAAAAATGCTTCACACCCAAGGCTGAGGCCCTTGAGGGTGGCACAGATTTCAGAAAGCAAAATAACAGCTATTATCAGGGGCAGCATGGCAGAACACCTCTCCCCAGCCCAACCCCAAATTGTAGGGTCGAAGCTCAGCCGGTCACCTCCTCCCCTGGGAAGAGTCTCCTGCCCAGACCTCAGACCTGAAGACAGGGGACCTCCTCCCCACGACCGTCCCCAGCCCTAGCCCTCAGGGAAGGCTGGGTAAAACCAAGCGCCCCAGGTCAATTGAAGTTTCAGATAAAGGAGGGTTTATATTTTTAGCATATATCTGTCCCATGCAATACCTTGAACGTACTGATACTACAAATACTCTGTGTGATCCTACAGCAGCAAACAAAGATGCTGCACTTGTTGCTACGACTGAAATACAACGAAACCCTTCCCAGGCATAGTGATGCAATGGTTCAGTACTTGGCTGTCAGCTGAAACGCCTTCAATTTCCATCTACAGGCTGCTCCTCAGGAGAAAAGAGCGCTACTCCTCAGCTACTGTGAGTCAATGAACTGAAATGTCTCACCACGTATACTGGAGGCATGGTGTCAAGAGGGACCAGCCCTTAGAAAAAAGACATCATTCCGCCCACGAGCTCCCTTAAGACAGCTTCTTTAACTTTCTTTCAAAAAAAGAAAAAGACATCATGCTGGGAAAGGTACAAAGGGTCCAGCGAAGAGAGGACGACCCTCAACAAGATGGACTGACTGACACAGTGACTGTAACATGGCCTGGAGCACGGTGGACACAGGACACATGAGGTCGGTACAGGACAGGGCCAAGTTCAGATCTGTTATTCCCAGGATTGCTGTAAGTCTCATGATGGCCCCTAACAACAGTATCATATTGGGTCACTATGAGTCAGAATCCACTGGGTATCACACAACAAAGTCTTCATGGTGCAAAGGTTTAGGGCAATGGCTCGTGGGTCCAGTCACTTTCAAGTGGTTTAATGTTGTCAGACCTTCTGTCCTACGTCCTTGTTTGATGATTAGAATTTGGGGGTCATAAAACATGAAACAGCAAAGGAAGAAGAGGGCTAGCAAATAAGGAAAAGTAATAGATTATAGTTCTGTCTCGGTGGACTGTACATGAGACTAGAAGAAATAGATGGTGCCCAGCTACGATTACCAAAAATTCAATTACAGAGCCAACAGATGGATTCTGACCCAGAGGAGGAAAAGGACGGGATACAACTTCAAATCCACGTGGAAATCACATCCCCTTGATCCACTGGGCCTGGAGAAGACCTCTCTGTGGACTATCGGGAAATAATCTTTATGCCTGAACCAAAAGTATTCTGTAACAGAACTCCCAGGCACTTGGTAGGACAGAGAATTAACTATCCCATACTTTGCCAGGCTGTAATCTTTATGGACGCTGCCTATCTCATCTCTCTCCATCACTGTGGTTGGTGGATTCAAACTACTGATGCTTTTGGTTATCGGCTGACTCCTCTACCCCACTGTACCACCAGGGTTCTTTAAAACTAGTCCATGAAGCCATCAGGAAACAAAACCACCCCTCAGCTCAATTAATAATGCGTGCCTTGAGCAGCCGGCTTCATAAGTAAATAGCCATGCGTTCTAAGTGACAACAGTTCACCTAAAGCACACATGAGAACTTGAAGAGACAGAGTTAGTCTGTGTAGATTTTTTTTTTAAATGTTATGTGCTGTCAAATCGGATCTGACTGGCCCCTCCTTCTCCAGCGGAGCATCTGGTGGATTCGAACCACGCGCTTTCGGGATTGCAGTGCAGCTTCTTGCCAGTAGGCTACCAGAGCTCCCTGGCTCTGTCTAGATTGATGGTGACCTGACAATGTGGTAGAGACAGAAAGAACGGGGGGCACACTGTAAAGCACGCAACCAACATCACGCCACCGTTCAGGAGGAAACTGTGCATGGATGTGTGCTTGGCCAGGCACAATGCCACCAACAACAAACTTACAAACAAAATAAAAATCCCTTGCTGTTTAAAGCCAGAACTCAGATTTAACTGGACATCCTTCACGTTGACAAATCTGACAACTCTACTCTCGGGCCAAGCACTGGACTGCAGAGCTGATGCTCAATGATGCTTAAACTGTTTTTTTCTTTTTCATGGTCAGGGGAGGTGGCCCAAATATGGACCAAGAGTAGGTCCCTAGCCCATCTACACTGGAACCCCTGAGGAGGTGTTAAAATACACCCACATATGAGCCCTACCCATGGCTCCCATCCAGGACTTCTGGAAGTCTGTCCAGGGAGCTACTGCATTTTCCAACTGCTGTCCAAAAGGTCTGAGAAGGAGCCGCTCTATACCATGAACCCTGCCCTTCACGTTAAGCCAATTCTGACTCACAGCTGATTCTGAGTCATAACAAATCTATGGAGCCAAGCAGGGCTGCCCCACAGGGTGGTGCCCAAGCAAACCATCCTATCTTCCTCCCTTGGTGAGAGCTAATGAGTTCAAACCACTCACCCCCCAGTTAGCAGTCAGCACGTAGCCACCGCACCCCTTTCTAACTCCACACCATCCAGTCAATTCTGACCCAGAGCTTTACAGAACGAGTTTCCATCTTTCTTCTGTAAAGCAGAGTGGTGGACTCAAACCACCCACTTTTTTATTAGAGTCCAACATCAGAGGCTCTATGCCTCAACCAGATGGGACACCAGCCAGCAGAACAAGGATCACCTCTCATTTCCTACCATGCCTAGGATTAAATTCATTCTCAAGGGAAGAAGTGGGGGGCGGGGGAATGGTTTCTCCAAAAAGAAAGTAAGTCAATGTTTGTTTTAAGTCTGTAGACACTCCAGGTGAAGCTAAGACCGAGGAAATGTGCAGATTCCGAAGTGTAAGTTGCCCGGGTTCTACTCACTACAGGAGGGGGTGCACGTTACCTGGTACCCACCTAGAGCTTTGCTTCTTGCAGTACAGTCCCCTTGGGAGGCGTGGTCATCAAGGATTCGGAATAAGCCTGAATGGCCTCTTTATTCTTTGAGCCCTTTTTACTACTACTCCAAAATAAATAACATTTCTCCTAGAAGATAACCAAGCTAATTTATAGTTGATGTTGCAGCCAGGCACCAAAATTTTGACACAGTTCTTTGATTTTTCAAAAGGGAAGATGGCAGAGGTGAGTGGGACAGAATTTCGGAGCCCAATAACCAGTAACGATTATGGCTGGCTGCAATCACCAACTTTCCTGCCCCTCATCAGACAGCTGGAAAAGTACCTTGAGGAAATCACTTGGGGGAATGGTCAAGCTGAGAAGGGACTGTCCACAGCGACTCAAGGCCGAGGACAGGAAGCAAGGCAGAGAACTGGGCATTACAGGATAGCTATGTGCCAAGCATGTGGTGTTTTCAACTAACCTGAAACAGATTCCTCTGCTAAAACTGTCTGGAGATAGATGGAACCAATCCAGAGCTGACCCTCTAGCAGGTTTTCAGAGGCAGTAAATCACACTGGAGGAGACTGCCTCGCTTTATCCTATGGAGCAGCTGGTAGATTTGAACCACAGGCCCTTGGGCTGGCAGCACAACCCCCTACAACTAACCAGCAGAGCTCCCATATATATTAAAGAACGGCTCAGACAGACAAGAAATTGAAATACATGATGCAATTTATAGGTGTGTTTATGTTGGTTTTTTTTTAAAGGACAAAATTAAAAATAAACCGAAAAACTACTAAGGGTAGCCTTGCTATGATAAAATTGCTAGTGGGATAAATCTCCATCTTTTGCCTCTGTAAATGCTGTAAGGAGGGGTGTGTCCACTACATTACCAAGGGAAATAAGAGTGTTCTTACTAGACTCAGGTAGGATCCTGGTTTGGGGTGAGAAAAGGGAAGGAGGGCTCTCTACCTTTAGGGGAGATGAGAAGAGAGAGAGACAAAGAGGAAGAGGAAGAAGAGGTCAGAGACAAGCTGTCCAGCCCCTTGCAGTCCCATGACCCTGTTTGTGGTATTTTTATCTTCACCCAAGGTGATGGTCTGCCCAAGGTGACAGACCGCTTCTGGCCTCCTGCACAATGCATCCCTGAACCCAGGGATCTCCTGCCCACTCAATGTCCACCCAGCACCAGCCTGGCTCTCATGGGCAACCAGCCAGCTGGGTGGATGGGAGAGCTCCAGAGGCGCCAATGCTAATGGCAGTGATGAGACCAGAGCAAGGGATGCTGGGAGCCTGGCAACTTTGTCTCCTGCAAACTTCTCCCACAAAGGATGGGAGGAAGAAAGAGCTGGTTCTAGATTCTAGAAGTTGAGGTTAAGAGTACAAAAATGTTTCTTATTGTCAGACCAAGCAAGCAGGCAAACAAGCGCAGAAGCTTCCTCTGAGAAAGAGGAGAAAGAGAAGTTGATCTGGCAAAGCTAAAGCAAGAGAGAAGACTGCAGATGGCCTGAAGACCACTGGAGAGCTGGCCAGCGTGATGGTCACCCCAAGGCCTTACCTGATGTTCAGGTTGTTCCAGCAGAGCCCTGTCAGGCTCTCTGGTCCATGCATGTGAAATCGACCCTCTTCCCTGCCACGACAGCCGCTGACCACAGATCCTGTCATCATGCAGCTGCAGGAATTTGCTCACAGGTCTGTCTGTCTGCCCACTGACCTCCAGACTGCGAGCCCTAGTCACTACCGTCTTCTCTAAGCTTTGCACAGCGCCTCACCAAAAAAATAACCTACCTGGTGAGCATTTGTAGTAATAGATGAATAGTTGCTATTGTTATGTACCATCAAGTGGGAACCGACCCACAACAGACCCTCCAGTAAATAAAACAGGAGGAGACTGTTCATCTTTCTCTCCTGGAGGAGCTGGTGGATTCGAACGCTGTGCCTCTGTGTTAGCGGCACAGGTCCCTACCACGAGGCCACCAGAGCTCCTTAATATGTGAATGAGTGCTCCTTTATCAAGAAGGGGAGTTTGTTGTCTGCCCTTCTACTTCCTGCCTCTAAGAGCAGGATGCCCCTAGACTGGGTCATTGCTTCTCCTGTCCATGTACACCTCTCCCCTAAATCAGCTGTCCCAAACATGGACTTCCTACACACCTATTCTACACACAGCAGCCCAATCTACCTCGCTTCTCCTTAAAAACTTCCAGCCTCTCTCCGAGTCAATTCCAAACCTCATCATGCATTACAAGCCGCCTCAGATGCCTCTTCTTTCCCTGAAGATCACTGCTCTCCAGCCACTCTGACCCTCTGTCTCATGCTCTAAGACTCCCCGCCCACATCTGCCTCAGGGCCTTTGCAAGGTAAAGCTTGCTGCCTGGACCACTCTTCTGTGCTGAGGTTTCCTTACAACAAAGCTTAGCCTTGACCTCTTCAGAGGAACCTTTCCTGACCCTCCTGCGTGTTCGCGTTCCCTTTGTCACTGTGCTGTGTCCAGTGTGGTCACGTTGAGCCCCTGGTGGTTGGTTACTGAGCCTCTGGAGTGGGACTGGTCAGGACTGAGATAGGGTCTGAATGTAATAGACACGGGGAATTTCAAAATATTAGTACATTTTAGAAGTGCAAAATAGCTCATTTGATCTTGATTCCACGTTGAAATGGTAATATGCTGCCTTTTTCTGGGTAAAACAAGCTATGTGATCAGAATTCGTTTCACCTGTTTCTTTATGCTTTGTGTAAGGCGGCTGCTCCTTGGTGTTTCAGTGGATCTGATTTTCATACCTCTCACCGCTAGGACAGCCCCACCCCCAGCAGGTATAGGAATAGGCCAAACAAGGCACGTACACATCCCCGCCAACGGCCGGCAGCCCCAAACAAGGGTCCCCAGGCCATCTAGGACAGACAGAGAAGATGCCACGCAGAATGCCAGAAAAGCTCGCGGCCCAGCAGAGGCCCAGGGGGCGGAGCGCAGGGGCCCAGCCCGCTGCCCCAGAGGGGTCAGGCTGGGAGAGAAGGGGCAGAGGACAGAGGGGCAGCCAGACGCGCGATGGGAGGGGGGCCGCTGGCCAGGCCGCAGTGCGGCCTCACCTACCTGGCTCCGGATCTGGTACACCACGGGAAAGAGCAGCAGCGCGCAGCCCACGGCGAGGAGCACGTACTGGAGGTAGTGCAGCACCTTGGGCAGCAGCACCAGCTGCTTGTAGAAGACTCGCAGGGTCTCGCCCTCCATGGCGCCACTCTGGGGAAGTAGAATGGCAGACTGGTGGGCTGGGCGCCACGGGCTGGGGGTGACCCCCTCCAGCACCCTCGGCCCCGCCCTCAGGTTGTCCCCATCTCGAGTTCCCGGGCCGAGCAGGTGCTGGAGACAGCCAGGGCCTCCTTGTACTCCGGGACACGCTTGCGGACTACATTTCCCAGAACCCCTTGCAGTTTGGGCACAGTCACGTGACCGAACTCTGGCCAATGAGATGTAGGCAATGGCACGCCAGCCTTTCAAGCCTGACCTGTCAAAATGCTCTCCTTCTACAGGAGGTGGGCGGGTCGAAGGACGTCCCGGGGGTGGGGCCAGAGGGTGGGCGTGGCTGTGTGGTGGGCGTGGCCCGCGACGGGGCGGGGGTTGCGCATCCCCGAAGGACTGCGGGATAACCCCACACCTGACTGCGATACCAATAGGTGGTGATCTGAGATCTGGGGAGGCTGACACTTAGCTCACTCCGCCTTAAAATAAGTTTGGCCAGAAGGAGACTGAAAAGCTAAGGGGAAAGAAAGTTTCAAAACCACTGTGTCTCTAACTCCCCCTCCCCAACCCAGCTTGCACTGACAGGACTACCTCAACCGAGCACCAGCGCCTTCACCTGTGCCTACAACTCCATCAGCCCCAAACCTGGGGACTTTCCAACTCTGGAGACCACTGGACAAAGCGTGTGGGCAGCATGAAAGGGACTCTAATCGTTCAAGGTCCCAGCCTCCACGGCGAAGGACGCTGGGGAAGGACCAGGGCAAGTCTTACCTCTTCAAACCACACCAGGGGCAGGACCACGGGATTGATTTTGCCGGTTTGCCTAGAAGGAACGGAGACGTTGCCGAGGTCAGAGAGTTCTGGACCTGTGCTGGGCGGTTCTCCCAAGAGGCAGGGACGGCGACCGGTCTCGGTCTACCCTTCCCTCTTACGAACAGCATTCCCATCCTGTGCAGGGTGGAAGACACCCCCCCACTCCAGCCGAAAGACCCTTTCCCAATATTCTGAAACCTTGTGTTTTCCTGCACTGTCCTCACACTCTCTGCCATGCTCACGTCAACAGCTTCAGTTCCCATGTCAAGCCATTTCATTGAGGGTCTTCCTTGCTCTCTTTGACCTCCTACATTTCCTTTGGAGAGGCTGGTTAAAAGTGCGTGCACAGAATGTACCAGTAAGGGGCTGCTTAAAGACGGGCTCTGTCGCACCAAGAGAACTGAAAGGCTCAGGAGTTCCTTGCTGAAAGCGAGGAGGACTTGAAGCACTTACTAAAGAGATCAGGGAGTACAATCTTCAGTATGGATCACACCTCATCATAATAAAAACAAAAATACAACTGGGAGGGACTCTGGTGGCCTAGTGGCAAGAAGCTGCGCTACAATCCTGAAGGTGCACGGTTCGAATTCACCAGATGCTCGGCGGGAGATGGCGAGGCAATCTCCTATACCAGTCAGATCTGACCCGAACAAACCACAAAAACAAAAACAACTGAACCAGTAAGCAATGTCCTCAACCAATGAGCAAGGTCATGATAAACAGAGAAGAGACTAAAGATGTTGATTTTATTTTACTTAGACCCACAATCAACACAGCAGTCAAAAACCCAAGGAGACAGTGTACTGGGCAAATCTGCTGCCAAGACCTCTTTAAGGTGCTAAAGAGCAAGGATGCCAGTATAAAGACTAAGGTGTGCTGACCCAAGCCATGGTTATGTCAACTGTTTCAAATGCATGTATAAGTTCATACAATGAATTACTGATGGTTTTAAATGATGGAGCTGGTGAAGAATACTGAATGTACCACGGACTGGCAAAAGAGCAAGCCAATCTGTCTTGGGGAAACGTGAAGCCACAGTGCTCTTTAGAACAAAGGCTGGTGAGACTTCACCTCACGTACTCTGAGCATCACGAGGAAATAAAAGGGTCAGTGAGTAAGACTCAGGGGATGGAGAGACACAGTGGCTGTATCAACAGGACGAAGCACAGGAGAGGCCATGAGGATGGCGCATGATGGCACCTAACAAGAGGAGACAAACCATGTCATTGTGATTATCTCAAGGATCTCCCGGACACTCACTGCCACGGGAAATGAGAGCAAGGACTATCTTCTACAGGCCGTGGAAGGAACCCTCGACTTGGGCCCCTTCGCTCTTAAAAACCACCTCAAGATCGATGGAAATGGAAGAGTCATGCAACTCCCCACCTTGTTCTTCTGAGCAGACAGAACAAAAGCTCCACCAATGATGACAGTTCATTCAACAGCTCCTGCACCAGGTGGCTCTGTCTCTGGCTTCTCCCACACTGTCCTTCATTGTCCAGAGCCAGGGCCCAGGGATAGTGACCCACAACGGCTGTTGGGATCACCGCCCTTGAACCACTGGTCCCTGGTGGAGGCAGAATCCAAACAATGATGAGACCCACAGAGATTGAGGGGGTGGCCCCAAGACACCAGGCCCACAACAGCCTGAATCCAGCTCCTGAGTGAACTGTATGCCAAGAACGTGAATGAATGAGTTTATTATGTTCACGGGGCAGGAACAACTCGGCCGAGGTGGGCGAATGGTTGCACAACTCCAAGAATGGTAACCATGTCACTGAACTACACTTGGAGAAATTGCTGAACTGGTGTACGCTTTGCTGGGTATGGGGAATTCTGCTACTGGTTCAGCACAGGACGCACTGGGCTGTTAACCAAAAGCCTGGAGGTTTAAACACACCAGGTGATTCACAGAAGAACACCAGGCAGTTGGCCGAGGGTACTGACTATCCTATGTGGGCTGACAAAAGAACACACATACGCCATGTGGGATGCACGGCCAAGGTGCTCCTTAGAGACAAGGATGCTGAAACTTCACCAACTTTGGGAGTGCTGTCAGAGGGGCCCAGTTCTTGGATAATCAGTCCTTAGGAAATCAGGTCAGCAAAGGAGAGAAAGACCCTGGATGAAATGGGCTGGCACAGTGAGTGTATCAACGGGCTGAGTGTATCTGAGACAGGGAGGACGGTGCAGAGCAGGGCAGCGTGCAGATATGTTGTTCATGGGGTCACTATGAGCTGTAGTTCACTCAATGGCACCTAACAAACAACAACTAGGTCTGTAAAGATCCACAGCCCAGGACACTCTACGGGGCAGTCATTCCCTGTCACAGAGGGCCACTGTGAGTCAAAAATGACCCAGCAGCAATGGGCAGGCCACGGATTTGCTCTGTGTGTTCTCAACAACAACAAGTTGTTGTTGTTTTTTTTAACAAGTTGACTTTTTTAAAAAATGTGAATGAGCTTCCCAGAGGTGAGCATGGGAAGAATGGCGGCTGATGTAGACTCCAGCCCCACTGACACTGCAGAGCAGTGGACACACTGGGGTGGACACGTGCCAGGCAAGGATGGTGCCCTTGGCCTTAGGCCCTCAGACTACCTGGCTCCCTTTTCCAGGTTACCTGCTTGGCCTGGGTAACATCTGAGTCGGCAAACCTGGGCCAAAAACCTCCAGTGTCACTGTCACACCCACTGGTCCCTAAGGTCCGTCCCTGGAGCAGCCTCATAGGAAAAAAGTCAGTGGTAGACGGGAAGAGAAAGAAGTTGGACGAGCAAGGTGTTAAACAAAACAAGGCAGACTCTCTCAACCCTGTGACCCAGACATGTTCCCAGGGGGGAGTTTTGTTCTGTTTTCCTTTTTGATGAAACTATTTTAACCTTGCTAATAAGTACAGACAGTAACATAACAGCTCCATGTACTGCCAACCCGCTCTAAGAACACATGGCATCACAGACAGAGCTGAGAAGGATGGAGATACAAGCGGCCTCGTGCACGGCTGGCAGGGATGTAGAATGATGCAGCCACTGTGGAAGCCATCGAGAAGCTTCTCAAAAAGGTATCAATGGAATTACCATGTGACCAGCAATTCTATTAGGCATATACCCAAGGGGACTACAAACAGGTGTCCAAACAAAAAACATACATTAATGCTCATAGCAGCCCCTGTTCACAAGAGCCAGAGAGTGGAAATGACCTAAATGTCCATCAGTTGATGCATGGACAGACCCAGAGTGGACTGGCAGACAATGGAATTACTCAGCCGTGAAATGGAACGAAATACTGATAGATGCTATACTAACTGATGAACTTGAAAACCAATGAAAGGAGCGAATCACAAGGGAACAGCTACTGTACAGTTCTGTTTCAAAGAAATGGCCTGAAAAGGAAATTACACAGAGAAAGGAAGGAGACTGGGAATTTCCAGGGCCTAGAGGTGGGGGGGGGTGTTAAATATTGAATTGTGTCCCCTTATAATGTATCTACTTGGCTTTGCCATGATTCTTCTTGTTGTTAAGTGCCATCAAGTACAATCTATAGTGACCCTGTCCTGTCCTGCGCCATCCTCACACTTCCTGACACACTGGAGCCCATTGCAGCAGTCACCATGTCAATCCACCTGGTCAAAGGTCTTTCTCTCCTTCGTCAACCCTCTGGCTTTCCAAGCATCCTGTCTTTCTCCAAGAAATAGCCCCTCCTAGCAACATGCCTAAAGTATATGTGGTAAAGCCTCATCATCTTTGCCTCCCAACAGCACTCCAGTTGCTCCCTCTCCAAGACGTATTTGTTCTTTTGGAAGCCTACGGGATATGTTCAATACTTTTCTCCAACTCCAGAGCTCGAAAGCATCAATTCTTCTTCGGTCATCCCTATTCACTGTCTAGTTCTCAAATGAACAACAAGTGATCAGAAAAATCATGGCCTGAATCAAGTGCACCTTAGTGCTCAAACTGACATCATTATTCCTCAATCATTTGGAGAGTTTCCTAACTGCAGACTTTCTCAGTACATCTCCTGATTTCCTGACTGCTGGTACTAAAGGTGGTTAACTGTAGATCCAAGTAAGATGAAGTTGTTGACAGTTTCAATCTTTTCTCCCCCTATAATGATGTTGCCTATCGGTCCAGTGGTAAAGAATCTTTGTTTTCTTGACATTGCGATGCAGTCCATAGTATAGGCTCTATTCTTTGATCTTCTACAAGTACTTCAGGTTCTCCTGAAGCAAACAAGGTTATGTCATCCACACAACACAGGGTACTGATGAGTCTCCCGCCAATCCTGACGCCACATTCTTCTTCACAGAGCCAGTTTCTCTAATAATTTGCTCAGCATAAAAATCGACGAGATATGAAGAAAGAATGCAAGCCTGATACACTCTCTCCATGATTTTAAACCATGTGGTGTTCCCTTGCTCTGTTTGCACAAGAGCCTCCCTGGTCTAGGTGTAAGTTTCACATGAACACATTTATGCCATAGAATTCCCTTTCTTCTCAACGGTAGCCATAACTTGTTACGATCCACACAATCAAATGCCTCTGCATAGTCGATAACGCATAAATAGACAGTCTTCAGGTATTCTTTACTTTCAGGCAGGATCCTTCTGACATCAGCGATGATCTCCGTGGTGCCATGGCCTTTCTAAATCCTGCTTGAACTTACGGCAGTTCCCTAACTATGTGCAGTTCTAGCTGTTTTGTAATGATCTTCAGCAGTATTTTGTTTGCATGTGATAGTAACAGTATTGTCTGATAGTTTCCACATTCTATTGGGTCATCTTTCTTGGGAACAGGAACAAATATGGACCTCTTCCATTCTGTTGGACAGACAGCTGTCCTCCAAATTTCCTGACATCGACTGGTGAGCCATGACTACTGTGTATTAGTATTACATAACTACCCTCCATTTTGTGATCAGATATCATTATCCTAAGCTTTATAAATCCCCATCTCTATGCTGTCAAGGAGGCATGATTGGAGGCAACTACATGAATGAGTTAGGATATAATCCACAGAATTGTTGTACTTGAGTTCTCTCTTTCTTAACATATATTAAACAAGTGAGCAGGTATGAGAGGTACCACCAAGAAAGAAGAGTCAGGAGTGGAGCTTGTCCTGTGTCCCATGTCCCAGCACTGAGACCCTCCGAGGCCCACAGAAGACTTCCAAGATTTCCAAGAACACTGGGCTGCAAGATGTTGAAAGGAGACAAGGACCGTCTCCCAGAACCAACAGAAAAAGTACTCTCTTAGAACCAGTATCCTAAACTTGGTCTTCTGGAGATAATACTTCAAATTTGAAATGTGAGGGAATAAACTTCTGTTTCTTAAAGCCATGTTCTTGTGGTGTGTCTGTGTGACAGCAGCACTGGGTGACTGGGACAATGCACTGTGGTGTCTGTGACAGCAGCACTGGGTGACTGAGACAGTGCACTGTGGTGTCTCTGTGACAGCAGCACTGGATGACTGAGACAGTGCACTGTGGT